AAGAACCCAAACTTTTTTTTTCCTGTTTTTCTTTCCTTTTTATTATTTTTTTTTAATTTTTTCAAAAAGCTTTTTGTTTTTTGGTCTGCGGGTCGGCCGAGCAGCCCTTCCCTCCCCTCCTCTACCTCCTCCTCCTCTCCAGCCCCACCGGCCCCTGGCGGACAGACGGATGGACGGAGGTGGCCCCGGTAGGGGAGAAAAACTGAGAAATAAAAATAAAATTTTAGGGAAAAAAAAAAAAAAAAAAAAAACAAGAAGAAGGAAATGTTAAAGTTGCATTTTTGCATTGGGTTCATCGCCATCGACGGTGGCCCAGGAGCATCAGCTGAAGGGAACGGCTGCAGCGCTGGGCTGGAGCCGGTGCTCATCCATCCCAGGAGCGCGGCCAACCAGGAGCAGGGAGCCTTTGGGTTTTTGTGTTCCAAGTCCTCTTCCGTTCCGTTTAAAAAAATAATAATTATAAGAACCCGGCCGGAGGGGCGCGGGACGCAAATAAATATCAGTCAGGAGAGACGGGGCCGCTGCCAAAGCGGGGAGGAGGCCTGGGGTGGGGGTCGGTGTGGGGCCGGGCCCTCACAAGACCTGGAAGCGCCAGGAGGCCTGGTCCTTGTAGTCGAGGCAGTCGGGGGAGTTGAAGTTGAGCTTCCAGGAGGCGGCGGCGGCCGGCTCCTTGTAGTCCAGGCAGTCGGAGGAGTTGAAGGGCAGCGCGGTGCCGCCGTAGCCCTGGTGGTGGTGGTGATGGTGGTGGTGGTGGTGGCCCGAGCTCTGGCTCAGAGGGTGGTGATGGTGGTGGCCCGGCACCGAGGAGGGACCCATGGGGCTGAGCTGGTGGGGATGGTGGTGGGAGTGCATGGGGGCCAGGTAGGAGCTGCAATCCACTCCCCCGAAGTAGGACGAGGAGGGCGGTGCGGGGTAGCCCTGCCCGTACCCGCCGCCCTGGCCGTAGGACACGGGGTAGCTGGCGGAAGCTGCGGGCCCCGCACGCTGCATGCAGGACGCGCCGGCGGGCGGCAGGGTCTCGGGCACCGTCACCCCCGCCGGGGCTGCACCAGGAGAGATGGAGGCCGGGCTCCAGATGGACGAGGCCGTCGTGCCCAAGGAGGCCGGGGCAGCCCCGGCTGCCACTGCAGCCCCTGAAGAGGCCGAGCTGGAGGAGGAAGAGGAGGCAGAGGAGCTGGAGGCGGCCGCCGGCGGCGTGAACTGCCCGCTGCTCTCCGAGCCTGAGCTCTCACGGGCCGGCGATGACTTCTTCTTGGCTGGGCGGCTCTTGGCTCCGCCGCCGCTCTGCTGCTGCTGCCGGCACTTGGCGCGGCGGTTCTTGAACCAGACCTGGGGGAAACGGGGCTATGAGCGGCAGGGAGAGGAGCCGGGGGCCCTGCTTGCCCTCCTGCAGCCGGGCGGCCTCACCCGCACCCACACTCCGCCATTACACCCACGGAGCCCTGCCCGCGCCCTGACGGCATCACCCCAAATGCCCTCAGCAAGGAGTGGGGCGTCCTGTCCTGTTGTACTGGGGTCACTGGGGCTTGAGGCCAAGGGAGCCCACCGAGCTCAGGACCCCTCAACAAATGACCGTGGGGAAGGGGCCAGCACCCACACACCCACCCTGCAGGCAGCACTCCGGGGCCGCTGCTGTGCAGCAAGGCAGGACAGGGGCTGTTAACCCCGCAGGGCAGGTGGAGGGGGGAATACAAATTAAATAAGATCGAAAAAAATTACAAGTGAACAGAAAATAAACAAAAGCCCCTTCCCCTGAGCAGCACAGCCCACGCACGCCCCAGGGAGACCGGCTGAGCATGGCCGACCGCGCCGAGTGCCCCGGTCCCGGCAGTACCTGCACTCGGGACTCGGGCAGATTGATCTTCAGGGCCACCTCCTCCCGCATGAAGATGTCGGGGTAGCGAGTCTTGGCAAACAGGGCCTCCAGCACGTCCAGCTGCGAGCGGGTGAAGGTAGTGCGCTCCCGGCGCTGCTTCCTCGGGGTGGCTGCGGGCAGGCACCGTCACTGTGGCACCGCGCGGCCCCGGCACCCCGCGGTGGGGCGTCCTCGGAGCATCCCCCCCCTCCGCTCTGTGGACCCCACATTATGGAACCCCTTGGTCCCACGGCACTGCCGTGCGGGGCCGAACCCCATCCCGCTGCAGACGGGGTGAGCAGAGAAGCACCTGGGAAGGATCAGGCCTGGACGCGGTGGGAGATCCGTGGAGATTTCGTTGTAGGGAAATAAACCACACTTCCACCTCCCCTCCTCCTCCCCGTTCTTTTTCTTTTCCTTCTTTCTTTC